TCCTCCATTGGCGACCCTCCCAGTAATACCCTAGTTCTCACAGAAGAACCCCGCCCTGCCCCTGCCGCTGCAGTGTGCACCCGAGAACTCGCTCGCTGCGCTCGCTGCGCTCGCTGCTCCGCGGCGCTCCGCTGCAGGAACTTAAAAGTCCTGTTCCGTAGCGTCTCGATGATGGTGCCCAACCGCGAGACCATCATGCGCGTGAAGTTGGCCTCCGCGGGCTATGTGGGCATGGCCCCTGGGACCGAGTGACAGTCGTCCCGACCCCGACAGCGAGTGACAGTCGTGTCCGACGAGCCCCCCTTTCAATTGGAGAGCGAATGATCCTTTGTCTAAGACTGAATAGAAGTAGCATAATAGTGAAATAATTTTTCCTGGACCTTCAAAGGGGTGTCCTGGCTGGAGATCCCGGATAGTAGTGGGCTGGGGCTTCCAGCCAGGTGACCCCGACATGAAGGTGCTGGTATGTTGTTGTTGCTATTATTTGTTGCTATTCCGCCCACTTCACTATCGCTAGAAAGGAATCACTTGCATGTCAGATGAGCATCTAGAGGGGGAAAAACCTGCAGAAACGTCGATTCTTGTGACTGGCGCAGCGGCACCACTGATTCGATGCCACCATGTTTGTGTAGACTTGGGGTTGCCCCGAATAACAGTTACAAGCAAAGGCAATAAATTAATTGACCAGAAAAGAACCAACCTTGACCTGTCTTAGGGGAATATCCCAATGTAATATCAATCACCACTACTTTGGTAGCATCGTGTGATCCAGTTCTGTGATGATGCTGAGACTTGAGGATGGACTGGCGAAAAAGTTCAACATCTTATACAAGCTTTGCGAGCAGCAGTTGAGCAAGCAGCGCCACTATGATTTTGGCCTGCGCAACATCCTCAGCCTCCTGGCACTATACATGCGTGGAGAGCTCGCAAAAAACACATGTGCAGGGCTGCTAGTACCAAACGAGCCCCAAACGGCTGCTAGATCCAAGTGTTGAACGGCTTTGGACTCCTTCACAGCCTATGACTCATGCTTAGTAAGGAATCAGGGAATGGATCCTGAAATATCTACAGGGGTGGTTCATTCCTGCATTCCCTCCGAGTCGGCTGATGAAGGATGAGTCAAATCCAGCTTTTTGACCTGAACATCTCATCCAGCCCACTCCTTCACCCCTGGGCCGACACGTGTTTATCGATCAGTCACACTTGCGGTCAAGAGTGTTCCAGAGAGCGCGCGTCTCGCAGAGAGCCGTCCACTCTTGGTGCGATAACACATACCAAAAGAGAGCACAACTGTTCCCTATACAAGTGAAAGACCTCATGAAAAACTGGAGACGGTCATGCAAAAACCAATACTTAAGGATATTAAGACTTAAGGAGGTCAAAGACCCGGTTTGGACCTGGGGTTGGGACCTGGACGTCCGTGGTTGGGGGTTGGGACGTCCATCCCAGGTGTGCTGCGGCAATCGGGCTCGGTGAAGCGGGCGAACCCGGGTGAAGCGGAGGAAGAGATGCTCTTCATGCGCACCGTGCGGGAGCCTCCGAGACCATGGGACTGGCGAGACCGAAGTAACCCCAGGTCAAGCACCCCAATTCACCTCCCCAGGTGTAGGCCAAGAGTCGCCAGTTGGATGGCCTGCCTAGATTCACGATCATGAAACCAACCAGAAACCAACCACCCCAACTGATGGGTCAATATGCCACTACCACCACCGTGGGTCACGGACATGTCCGAGGCCGCGAGCTAAGGGTCCCCGGTCGTCTCGACACCGGTGCGCATGGCCCCAGTATACTGTAAGTAAGTGTCGGAAACAGGCATCAACTTCAGACTCAAATGTATGGATCAAAAGTATTTCAATCCCCCAGCCCCCAGCATGTGAAGAAAGAGGTTTGTCCAATCCCAATGGGGTGTTGTAAGGGTTTATTAATCCAGAGTGTGCAAGAGAGAGATCTCCAGAGATTCTGGGAGTCTATATTGGGATCGGGCTATAGTGTGGTTGCTTGAGGACGGATGCAATGTTTGGAGAGTTTTAGAGAGTTCAGATAAGGAGGATCCAGGATTCCGTGTGATGTTTGTCGCTCGGAAATAACATGTTTTATGTTTCAGATAAGTTTCTTTCCAACTCAGGAGATTCTGGCATCTTTTGAAACCAACCCCGAAACATAACGAAATTGAATTGATTGGGGTTTTTCCCCCCTCTCCTATCTAGTCCCATGCAATGCTGCTGGAGCAGATGGAAGGACCCAGCATGCCCCGTCGCCCGAGGACATGAACTTGTCCAAGTTGGTGGCGGATGACGTTCCTCTCTTTATGAACTTGCTGGAGGATCTCTTCCCCAAGGCTTCCTCTCGCGCAGGTCAGTTGTAGGTGCACGGAGTAAGTGGTTCTTTCGGTTCCCAAGAACGACCTGGCCGCCAGTGGTTGCACTTCTTACGGATCTAAATGGGGCGGATCTTCAATAGGACATGATTCGAATCCAACACTCCCTCTCTCTCTCCATATATATATATATATATATATATATATCGGGTTGGTCCTATTATATACCTGTAACAGGACCCGGTTGCACAAGCACATCAGGATTTGAGAGAAAGGCCTGCAACCTAACCATCATTATCTACGGTTACTGGTAACAGGATAGACCCAAGTTACCACATGTTACCACCTTATAGCCATGATTCCATTAAATTGGAGAATGTACATTGTTTGTTTGTTCACAGTGACGTTTGCATCACTTGACTTTGCGAATGGAAGACACACCAAACAATCGACCTGTCGTTTCACTGTCGATACTACTGTCGACCTGTCGCTCGACCTGTCGACCAGTTATGGCTGCATCACCCGGGTGGCGGTTTCAGAATAATTATGTTTAATGGCCGCTCCCTTGAATAGAGTTATTCTGATGTCCATGTAATGGCCGCCCCAAAGAACGAACTCGGAATCAGGAATCGCTATGTACAAGATGTTCATGTTCAACCTTAAACTTGAGATGATTGATTCCACTGACTCATACTTCTCCGACCTTGTCTCCGTTGGTCAACCGCCAGATGTCCCACTGTTTGCGAACCACGCAGGTGACCGAGACGCCAGAGATGACCTACAAGAGCTTGGAAGACACCGTGAGGCGCCTCGCTGAGACCCAACGGCTCCATGAGAAGGACCAATGGCGAATTCGTGAACCGCGCCGGTTCGAACCGCGGAAGGAGGAGAGGAAGTGGATGGTGGGAGGGTGTGGGGTTTGACTAGGAGACCCACTGGAGTCGGCAGCCACATGGTTACCACTAATTGTACTATATAAGCTACTATATATAAGGAACCACTGGGTTTCGAGGTCTGCGGTTTTAAGTTGCTTTAGTCTTTGGAAGCACTGCTTGCGGATCCACTGGGAGAGGATTGCTTGGGGAATATCAGGTGGCTTGAAGGGCTTTCTCAGGGCGTGAACCGTGCGTGTCCGGACACGCAAGTGGATAAAAACTGAACTCCGAGCACCAAACCAAACCAACCACCACATGGGCATCGCTTATGCCCAAAAACATGCACCCGACCAGATGTTGTGCCCGAACACGTTTTGGTGCAGGACACCTGGATGTTGAAGATCATCCAGCTCTATGAGATCTCTTTGGTCCGGCACGGCTTCATGCTCGTGGGGCCCACGATGTGTGGCAAGAGTCGTATCATGCAAACCTTGACGCAAGGCATGAGCGAAGACCCGGAGAAGCCCACGCCACACAAGCTGGTGGTCATGAACCCCAAGGCCATTACCGAAGCTTGGAGAGATGGATCTTCCACACAACCGCCATGGGTGAGGGCATGTGTGAGGTTGGCCTCGGAGCGTCCGAGGGGCTTCAATTACAGTACCCTTATTATGTATCCCTTTGTGAAGGTGTTCGGGATAGGTTTGGGGGGTCTAAGTCTAAATACCTTCTCGAGAGGAGGTAGGAGTAGGCAGGTGTTTTTCTCAAGTCTGATCATGAGTGCACATTCTGTGAACTTCAGGGCATCCAGACTCGATTTCACCCACGTCCAGGGCCAAGTCTAAAAGTCTAGAAGCGCTTCAGTGAGTCTCTTTCATGTCGCGGCAGAAGGGGGCCAAACGCCAAATTCCAGTGGCCTTGACTTGGTCGACCTTGCGGTGCCGACCTGGCGCAAGCCTTTCCGTCTCGTGCCGACCTGAACGCTGCCTTCCGATCTCAGGATGCGCAGATGTACGGCGTGAAGGATGGTGATGAGTGGACTCCGGGAGTCTTCGCCTCCCTTTGGCAGCAACGCAACAACCGGGCCTCGAAGTACAACTCCTGGATCGTGTGTGACGGGCCCATTGATGCGCACCCTGGCGCGGACCCGGCCGCCGCGGTCACGGCTTGGAGAGTGAGAGAGACACGTCCGTCGCCCAGGTTCGGAGTCGCCCACCCAAGAGTGGATAAGCTGGGTCCAACCATTGGAAAATTGGGAACACTCTACTCAAATCGAAGAGGAGGGAACCGTATGTTCCCAGGATCTCCCCAGCCTTGGGAGTCAGGTCATGCATCCTGCGAAAGCTTAGGGACTTGATGTGGAGAACTCCAGGAAACTCCGACGTAGGCCGCCCCCCTGATACCAGCATCCTCTAGAAGTCGGTGTTTTTGTTGAAGTTTTTTGAGTTTTTCCAAGTCCTGTGCCCAGTTGCATCACCTGTGCTCATGTCCCCAAACGGCCGGGCATAGACATACTTTAAGCCTAAGCAGACCCGCACTTTGAGAACTCCGTGCATTTCGATTTGGAAGTGCTGCTGTCTTGGGAGATGTGCCGTCTTTTCACATCTCATCCGACGTGCCGAGATTGGTCGAACGATATGTCCATGTCTGTGTTCTCCACGTCTTGAGGATTTGGATTGAGAATTTGAATACTGTGCTGGATGACAACAAGATCCTGACCTTGGCGAACAACGACCGCATTCCGATGACGGACAATTGTCGCATCGTCTTCGAGGTGGAGAGCCTTCGAAACGCCAGTCCGGCCACGGTCTCGCGGGCTGGAATCATTTATGTGTCGACATCGGCTTCTTGGATAAAACGCAGGTGTTTGACATTGAGAATCAAATCTGTGAAAGGATGGATTAGCTGATTAGCCATGGTGCGCCAAAATGATATGCCCCTCAAATAGATATGAGTCAGACAGAAAGTTAATCCTATTCTGTGCAGTATGGTGCAAGTATCAGCTGGAGGCCAGCCAGACTATAGGAGGAGTCCTTGAATACACCAGAAACATGATCAAGACAGGGTTGTGCCCCTCTTGGTTGACAATGACCCAACCATGGGTTTGTCCAACACTTTGTCAGGTGTGACTCTTCTCCCAAAGCTTCACTCGGAGTGCAGCCCATTTCAAGGTTACCAAGGCCTCCCATTGAGCCCATAGAGACGTGTTTCTTTTCCTTTGGGAGGGGCAGGCCAGAAACCATCAGTCTTAGCCCACTTTGGCGCCAGGATACCGAACAGTGGACCTACCTGAAAGACCTTTAGCTGACATGGACCCAAGGCTTCAGCTTGTGACCCGAGGATTTGGGCTGGGGCCCTTTGGTGGAAAGCTGGCTGCTGCAGCGCTTGGAATTGGGTGCAACTAGACAGCAGGAAGTCACTGTGCTACGAAAGACCTTTGAGAGCTGGCTGCGGACGCCTCCACCCGACGCCTGGCTCAAGCAGAGCAAGAGGTTTCAGCTTCTGTTGGGGGGATTTCACCCGAAGGGTGGAATGTGTACATCAAAGGGAGCATATACCAGGACCCCCTAAGGGCGCCCCTTAACCTCTAAGGGGTTATTATTAGACACCCCTTAGGGGGCCCTGGTATATAGTAGACACCCCTTAGGATAGATCATAGAGTTGGGATTCTTTTCTACCAGACCCCTCCAAGATCAGCTGTTTTGGGACTCTCTCGGTGCCACCGGGCCGCCACGGATTTTCTAGGTCAGTCCTGGTGGTGCTTAGGAGATCGGATACTTTGTTTTGTTTCCCTTTGGATGGCTTTGCAACTGGCAGTTGAATCGGGAAAAGGAACAGATTGGGGGTGCGTTTCATTCCCCAACCTGGGGAAGAGGGAAAACCTCCCTAGAACTAACATGGAAGTGGATGGCACCACCTGCTTGTAGTGGAAAATGCTCTTCCAAGGGGTCATTCTCCACTTCCATATTAGTTCCAGGGAGTGTATTGATGTTTCCATTTTCTCCCGGTTCCTTAAGCAAATCCAACGTAGTCGCGCCTTAAAGCGCAGCTTGGGCTTGGAGCTTCTGAGCCGACAGGTGTGGCCGGGCCGGTATTCCAAGGCTCCTATAGGATGACCGGAGCTGGCAGTGGGAGGGGACTTACTCCATCATCAATTCAAGTCACTTCGGATCGATTGACCATTCTTTTTGGAAGCGCGGACTGCTTTCCTTTGCCAATCCGACGGATCGGGGTTCGCCGAGGATGCCGGTGTGGCCGTGGACTTCTTCGATTGGAACGCGCGGAACTTGAAGGGGGTGCTTTGGGTGCATTTCGGTCTTTGGAGGGCATACACAAAATGGGTAGAAGATGGTGGACCCACAGTCGGGATGGTTAAGAAGGACACCCCGAACCACATCTAAGGGGCGATCATGGGCCGAAAAGAAGCCCCTGACAGGGTGTCCTGGTAGAAGTACTGGTTTGTTTGAACATGGGGTCACGTGATGTCACGTGACCCCATGTTCATCCATTTTCTGGTGTACAAAAAACGGAGGGTCTAGGTTGTTGTGTCCTGTTGTGTCATATTGGGTCATTCCAGAAGGATTCTCCAGGTGCAAGATGTGCATGCAAGATGTGCAAGTGAATCGCAGGTCGTTGAAACGGTGTTGGGAATTGATGGGAAATCCTCACGCTTGGTGTCAGCGGGTCGTTTTGGGAAAGGGAGCAAGTATAGATTTGCCTTCATCGCTTGTGTCGGCTACAGGGCTCTTCAAATGCTTCTTGAGAAGCATCATGATTGCAGAGTCAATCTGCAGATTGTTTTTAGATGGGCCCTGGGTCTATGATCAAGCTAGGCTAGCTAGCTCCCTGCTTTGCAAAAGGATTCTTTCAATGATGCAGAGAGCACCAAAACCAAAACAAAGGATATTCAATGCTTACATTGATGCTTTGACATTTGGAACATGATGCATGGCCCCCCTTGCAATCCTTCCGGCTTCAGACCACGGGCTTCAATGAATCCTGGAGGCTTCCGGATCTCAAAGACGACGCTTTGAAAACCGGAGCTTTGAGATCCGGACCCTGGGGGAAGCTATCACTTCTGTACACCCAGACTCTGCAGATCGGCACAGGAACGACGACCGCCCCCCCGTTGGTCTTCTCACGCATCCGTTGATCGGATCCTCGGGGGTGCTTCACCTCGGTTGAGAAGAGACGAGGGCGGCCCGGTTCGGGGCATCCAGGTGCCATGACCCATCTCCCTAGATATCCAGTCGTACCGAACCTCACAAGGCACTTGGACCCTCCAGACTCCAAACCTACATAACAGTGTCTCCAATCACCTTCTGAGAAAGTACTTGGATCCCTAGTCCCTAGGGTCTATTGATGATCTATGCCAATCCAGGAGTCACATGGAGTTGGGTGGTTTGTAGTGCCATCGAAGTGGATGTGTTCCACCCCTATCCGCCAAGCTCGGCACCCATGTGACTGCTGGATGCTTGTTTGATGTGCTGAAGCATTTTGGGGGTATGACGCATCAACCGTCCACCTGAAGCAGCCATGGTTCGTGAGAACAGCCGAGGTCATGAGTACCAACGAGACGATCTTGATCGCCAACATTCTCAACTTGCTTTCGGCCATGCTCCGCATGCATGTGCAAGTGAACGAGGCATGTGGGCGGATATTTCAAGGAGGGTGTGGGCCTTTGGAGTGAAAATTAGTGGATACGCATCTATTATTATTATTATGCTGACTCACCTGCGGAAGGGAAATGGAATCAGCGCTTTTGCGCTTTGAAGAAGGCAAACATGGATGCAATTCTTGGGCGAAGCTCTCTTCCATGGCTTCCAACGTTGCTGGTAGGGGCACCTTTCTGAATATACTGCTCATATCAGCACCTCCACTCATTTGTGGGGCTTCATTTTTAACAGACAATGAGATGACACTCCTGGTGCTTACTATGTGCTTACTGAGATGAAGATGTTTGGTTCAGACCCTGGCATCCACATGAATCACATACCCTCCCTCAGACCATCATCGAAGCTGAGCAGACTTCAGTTAATAGAGGAAAACGATCTTCCAGAGGTCTATGTTCCTCTTCACTTCCACTTCCATGATTGTTTCGGGGGTGTTAATCCACCTTGAACATACCCACCACTTCGTGTGTTTTCAGTGCTCACTCCGCCATGCTCCGCCCGTGTTTCATCGCGCTGAACTCTGCCCCGTGGAGGCCATCAGCGAGGCTGCATGCATTCGTGTCTTCGCGTACTCGGTGGCCTGGGGCATGGGCGGTCTACTGGAGCCCGACGGGCGCAAAGCTTTTCATGCCAAGCTGTGCGAAGTGATGGAGCAAGCAGGTGAGGATGGGGAGGATGGGAGCCCAGAAGGGGGAGGAAGATCGGATGGGAGCCCATCGGAGGGTGTCAGCTTGACAGATGCCTGAAGGATATTATTATGATTGGCGGATGAGGTTTGAGTGTGTGGGTTGGCCTGAAGTGTGTGTGTGTGTGTGTCCACCCCTGAGCAAAGGGTTTCTTACCGCCAATTCTCCACCCCAGCTCCACAGGCAGGGGCGTCAGGCTCGACACATCTACCTGACGCAACGAAGCTATGATGTGTCGAGGGAAGTGAGAGCTGATCACTCTCATGTACCTGCGAAGTTTTCCACAAGCTGTCACCCTACTTTTCCACGGTTTGATTCATGGTTCTTCCACGATACCTTCCCCACAAACAGGTTTCCCACAGCTGCTTTCAGCCGCCGTCGTTCAGCCGCATTTCTGCAGACAAGTGAACAATTTGTTCAACAATTCAGTTGCGCTGACCCTGTCACCTTGCGTTTCCCTCAATCCTTTTGACTTGAACTGAGTTAACTGAATACAATTGTCAGAGTGTGGATGATCAGGTGGGATCCGGTACTGTCGATGAAATTATAGAGTAAACTCACCAATCATTGTTTGGGGTGGGGTGCCAGGAGGATCTCTCTCTCTCTCTCTCATAGATGTTGCAGCATCACCAAAAGGGTGGTGTACACCCCCCTGACCATGCATGTTCCATCCCACAACCAGGTTTGACAGGTGCTGGCAGGTTCCATCCAATATATTTTATTGGTATATATATATATATATCTATTGGGTTTGTCCGTTCTTACCTGTAACAGGACTCGGCTGCACAAACAAATCACTATTTATGGACAATGCCTGCAAGTGAACCATCATCATCCACTGTTACAGGTAGCTCGGATAGACCCAAGGTATATACATCTAAGTATGTCGTGACAAAGGTCTAGTTGGAGCATGTTGGAGCCCTCTCGCTTCTGGGACATGGCATGTTCGTTTCCTCAGTCTAGCTGGACTTTCCTCTGGACGGTGGACCTTCCTGAAAACATATTAGACAGCTGTTGAGCATGTGGTGAGGGAGCAAGAACCGAAGAAATACAGTGATTCCATCATGTTCCTTCCCAACTTCAGGCTCTTCCACCTCACCGCACCTCTCCCACCTCGCCCCTCGCCTCAGGCCATGGCCAGTACGCGCCACCCTGCCGCGAGGGCGAGACCATCTTCGAGTTCGTCCCCGATCCAGGGGACCGGAGCCGGCCGTGGAAGCACTGGGCACCAGCGGATGCTGGGCACCCAAGGGCATGTGCAAGGTGGAACCTCTTAAAAGACTAAGATGGGTGAAATTTACACCCAGGGAAATTCAAATGGAACCTGATGGCATGGATCTTTGGAGTACTAGTTTCCTCTACAACCCGACGTGGTTGTCAGGTTCCATGTGGGTCGCTTCCCGGGTGTGGAAGACCTCCCAGTTCAACCCCCTGGAAGGTTTGGAAAGAGACCAGTTGGCCCAGCCAGTGCAGATGTCTGTCTCCCTGTAGTACACACCCAGATGTCACATCCGAGCACCACTTTGTGTGAATCCATTGGTATGAGACGCCGAACCCTGTAAAGTTGCCTAGGATCTCCTATAGGTGTTGTTTTGCCTCCCTGGACCCCAGTTGGCACTACCAAGGCTTCTAGACCCTTGCCTTACATGCCATGATGGCACGGCAGGGCCTCCTTCTAGACGAGTTTCCTTTGCAGTTTGGGCCTCACCCAAGCCCATACAGTACAGGATCCCAGGTTCCAAAGACCAATCTATACCAATCCTAACTCCGAACCACGCAAGCTAGAATGAAATTGAATCCACTTGAGCTTTCTTTTCGGGGTCAGGAGACCAGTGTGTTATATTGTTTGATACCGATGGCCAATGTTGTGTTTGTTTTAGAATGTTCAAACTGTGGTAAACATCATGTTGTGTTCATCATGAACTTTCTAGGTTTGGACTTACTCTCTCTCTCTAAATATATATACATATATATTATACTGTACATCTTACCACTTACAACATCTTACAGCCTGATCAGCCTATTTCTGTTGCTTTCAGCCTTTCAATTGAAACTTCCACCCCAGCACGCGCGCTGCTTTCGCCCGGCTCCAAGGAATGGAAAGTCCCGAAGATCTTACGCTTCTCTGCTTTGCTGATTCCCACGATCGACTCCTGTCGCGCGGGGTACCTGATCGAGGTGATTGCCAAGTTGGACCTGACCCGAACACCGCCGAATTACAAGTCTTCCCTGAAGCTTGGCATTGAGATGTAATGGACTCAATGGACTTGGACAAGAGAAATGAGAATTGAAACATGTTGAAACCCTCCGACACCTCCAAGAAGAAGGTGAACTTGCTTTGGCAAGGCCAGCGCCTCCGACCCTGGATGGACCGATCCAGGTCCACCGACGACCCGTTCCCCAAGCGACCTGGCCGATCCGGAGCTCCGACGCCTCAGGATGGTGGGCGCCGCGGGAACTGCGAAGACCTCCACGGCCAAGCTGCTCGCGTGCAGACGGGTGGTTAGACGGGATGTTTCGGACGGCACCGCTGTACAGTTTGGTTCAATTAATTTAAAGTCAATTGAACATCCTCTTCATATGGGGGGCGTATTAATCAAGAATCTACATTAGGCAGCAACACCCTGCACAACCTGGACAGCCAAGGATGTTTTTGAACAAGTACCCCGTCGATGTGATGCTCTCGAAACGCCTCAACTTCTCGAGTGCGACCACCCCACTGGGCTTGCAAAAGGCCATTGAAGGCGGGGGAGATGGGGTCTCTGAAGGCATCCCTGTGCCGTCTCTGAAGGCAGAGCCTGATTCTTGAAGTCACCGCAAGAATTTCTTATAGGAAGTACTTGGAGCCAAGATGAGCTATATATATATATAAGTCTACTGATTCTACGGTGTGCGCACATAAGCCCCGGTATTAGATCAATAGGGCAGACATGTTGTTGCCCGCGGAGGGATGAGATCTTGCACGAAAAAGGGGTCACCTGCTGTGACGGCAGGAGAAGTGGAGAGGAAGACAGGGAAGACCTTCTGCCCGCCTGGTGGGAAGCCACTCACCGTTTTCTTGGATGATGCATCCATGCCTTTGGTGAACAAATGGGAAGATCAGGCCAGGGAGCAACAAGCCAACCTGCAATGTTGCTAAGTGTGGCCTGTTCGAGATGTTCTTGCAATATCTGTCAATGAATGTTAAAGAGTAGCTCAAGGAATCAATGATACTTTCAGGAAGTAAGATGGACTTGAACCTGCATGTGGACTGAAGAACATCAGGTGCTCGAAAAGTGCTCAGCTCAGCCGTTTCGTTTTGCTCAGCTCAGCCGCTTCGTGAGCAACGCGTGGCTTTCAACGGCGCCAGGTCACCAACGAGTTGACGCGACAACTCATGGAGTTTGGTGGCTTCTACTTCTTGGACCGAGACAAGCGTGGCCTGGCTGAGGAGGGTTTGTTTGTTTGTTTGTTTTTTAATGGCATACTCTTACAAATCATTTACATCTTCGGGCTGTTTTATGATCTGTAACATCACATATTGGGGCTGTTTTATTGTCTGTAACATCACCATCCACTGTTACAGGGAATAGGATATACTCAACATACACAGAGGACTTCTTGAATGTAGAGAATCTTCGTTTCACACAGTTCTGGCCCCACAAAAGCATCAATCCAAACCACCACATCCGACCCCCCAAACTGCACGATTTGATCAGGTGGTGACTTAAACGATCTTAAACTAAAGCTGGTAGCCATGAACGATTTTGAAGCACCACAGACGCACTGTGACACACTCAGGCGGTGAATTCAAGAGGATCGAACACTTGACCTACATTGCCGCCATGATGCATCCAGGCGGAGGTCGAAATGACATCCCCAACAGGCTGGGACGGACTCAGCAGGACGTACATATTTCTAGATATATACGTAAATTGGATGGCAAAGTTGAAAGTCAGAAGGTCAATTCATGGATGGGCCTTGCCATGTTTTGCAACTTTTTGTTTTGGATGCTCCATGATTTTTGGTAGACGTTTGAGTTTTCCCCAAGCTCTCTGAACTAGAATCAGAGTGCGGCAAAAAACATGTAGTACATCAACAATCATCAATATGATATAGTTAGTTTACTAAGCTTAAATTGATTGATGTCGTAAAAAGTCTTGCTTTTTATGACAGGCTCAAGTCCAAATTCTTCCTCTTCAACATGGTCTTGCCCTCCACAGTGAGTGCGGACAACATCTACGGCAGCATCCTGCGCGCACGCTTCAACACCAAGCTGGGCGTCGATGGTGGCGTCGTGGCGCTGTCGGCCAACCTCACGACGGCGACCATCGCCCTGTGGACCAAGGTGCAGAAGGTGCTGCTGCCCACGCCCGCGAGGCCGGACCAAGGGTGCCCACGGCAGCCAGCGGGCGCTACTGAGGGCTGACAATGAAATGGGCATGGCCTCGCAAATGGCTGAAAGGCAATAACCTGCATGCCTATAGACCATATCTTAGAGCATTATAGAGTTAAGTCATGATGTCATCTGGGAATTTTCGGGCTTGGACCGCCAACAGCCAACCCTGGTGTTCGTTCTATCGCGAAAAACTGCCGCTGGGGAGGTTCCACTACATCTTCAACTTACGTGAGCTGAGCCGCGTTTTCCAAGGCAAGTGGACTTGTGTGGACTTGTTCTGACGTGCCGTGAGGCTCCTGACACTCTCCATCCTTTTCTGAAAGAGTCTGAGGTCGACCTAAATGTAGAATGAGGTCAAGTGATTCATGATTTTACCAGATGCTTATGGATGTTTACCAAAAGTAGATTCCGCTGATTGGTGGGGGTGTTTAAAAACCAAAGGCCGCTGTTGGCACCTTTTTCTGCGGGCGGAGGCATTATGGAGACGCCGCTGGAGGTGATGAATGATGAGGAGCGATTGGTCTCGCTCTGGAGGCATGAATCCTAGATTTGCTTAAGTTAACCTCCCTTCAACAAACATGGAAGGGGCACATGGCCCCTTGGAAGACTGTTTTCCTCTATTGGCTGAGGGTTTTCCACTTCCATGATTGTTTCAGGGAGAGTAGATGTTCGCTGATGTATATTTGACCACCCGACGACGTATGGAGATGTGAAGGGGCCTCTAGGTCAAGTGACAAGTGACAGCCCAGAACTCCTGGCTGAAATGCCAAAGAGCATTTGTTGGCAAAGCCTTGTCATCATGTAGGGAATTGAGGCAAGAGCCTTGAGGGGGATATAGTGTTGATGCATCATTATCACTGAATGGTCGACCTTCAGGGTCAACCGGTGTTTTTTAAGTGACTTGAAGCCAAGCTCTTTGTCGAGGCTGTCCCCGAAAACAAGGTCAGTGAAATAGGGGTCTGAACCCGAGGCTGCTTTAGACCAACAACAACAACGAGATTGATTGTGGAATCTCCTCCAAGTCCCCTCAGCACCAGTGCTCCAGGAATTCCTTTTTGGGAAAATGTATCACTGTATCACCATATTCAGAACTCTTGGCTCGAACCCTCTACCCTCATGCGCCTCCGGAAGACTGAGCCCAGTTCGGAACTGAGCTGGGCCACCCCCCCAGCTAATCGGCGAGCGAACTCGCGTGACCCGGGTCGCTCCCAAGGAATGCACCCGCGTCTTTGCTGACAAGCTCGCACGCGAGAAGGCAGACCATCGACTTCGGTCGAATCCGGGGCATCGGCGGAGCGTCGACGAACGGGTGCAGTATACACCCCACGTAGACGGGGACGAAGGGGTGGACAGTTTGGCTACCATCACTTGGATTGGCACTCTTTGGGCCAACTCTTTGGGGTCAGGACAGTCGTCGGACGTGCCAAAAAGCGACAGGATCAGTGACCCAGTGGAGTGATCCCCCGCAGGCGAAGCATGCTGAAGCGACATGAGATGACTGAGATGAGTGACATGAGATGTTTCATTGGATCAACTCGCCCTCGTGCTTCATGGTGATGTCAGTTTCATCATAGAGCTAATTCTTTGCAACCTCAAGTTTGAAGCTTCAAAGCAACAGAGGCTGAAAAAGAAATCAGGCCCCTGCGCCAAAGATCAGTGCCAGTTAGCCACACAGATGAGTCAGCAGCCAGTGGCTACACACAACAGTTAGCCAACAGAGTAACAGACCTATACACTTGAAGGGACAGGGTGTTCACTCCAGCCTGAAGGCTTGCAACTGCTGAGAAAATCTTTACAAATCCTTTCGTGGAGATGGGGAGGCCATGATACAGACCAGGGCCCTGCAGTTTCCACAGAGATAATAGACACCATTGATATGATAGACGTTTACTGGAGGGATAGCCAACATTGTTTGCATAACATGATCAATCATGGTCAGTTCGGCGCTGAACTCGTAGTCTCTCTCTCTCTCTCTCTTTCTTGTTGTCGTTTGCTGTCATGTTCCTCCAACCATCTCAAACCTCCAACCGGGCCTCTCCTGTCACCGATGTGTTGGGCATTGGGCGGAGGCCTCTCTCCCCGTCCCGACCATCCGTGTGCACGTCCGTCCAGGACAAGAGCCTGATCGACAAGTTGGTGCATGACTTTGCATGCGAGCACTTCGGCGAGCAGCTGTCCACTTACACGAACCTTGGCAGCACAGCTGTCCAAAGCACGAGCCATCATCCGTGGATGGAAAGTAGATGGTACAGACCCCAGGAGGTGGCTGATAGTGTGGCTGATTTATACGCTCCCGAAAACTCACATAGACCCTGACAATGGCCCCCTGGAAGATCGTTTCCTCTACCAACCAGTGGTTTTCAGGGTCCATGTGGATCGTCTTCCAGGGTGTACATCAATATAATACCCCGCCATCAAAGACATCTTTGGGCGCCATCGAAGCCTCTGAAAACCTTGTTTTCGATCCAATGTGCCGGTCGACCATCCGAAGCAGAGGAGAGTAGGCAGATCCATACCGATCAATTCCACAACCCAAAGCGAACAAAACAATCAAACAGTACCAGGACCCTCCTGTCGGGGTGTCTATTTATAGCCTCTTAGCTGTTAAGGGGTGTCCATTAACCACCCCGACTGGGGGGTCCTGGTAGGCCATAAGTGGATTTACAACATTTGCTTATGGATGCTTTGGGGGTGGTTCTGAAGAGGTGTGAGATGGTGTATAGTACGCGGTTTGATGATAGAAGAAATTGCTTGTGCCAATCTTCTATTTGAAGGGCTTGGAAATTTGCCGCCGGGAGGGTTTCAAATAGAAGAGGGCCAGGTGGAACAAACAATTCCGGGCACAACTTTGGGCACAACGTTGGTTGACCAAACCCCGAGCCACTTCAAATAGAAGACGCAAAAACTGCAAAGAAGAGGAAGAGAAGGGAAGGGAAAGGAGAAAGGGTGGGGAAGGGGGAAGGGGGAAGGCAGGACGGGGAAGGAGGTACAGGAAAGGAAGGTAAAGGTAAAGAGAAGGTAGAAGGAAGGAAAGGTGGGAAGGGGAAGGGGAAGGAGGAGGGAAGGCAGAACAGAAGGCAAAAGAGAAGGGAAAATGGAAGGGAAGATCTGAGAAGGAGGAATGAGGTAAAGGGCCAAGGGAAGGAAGGCTAAGGTAAAGAGAAGGTAAATATTGTGCCAACGTTGGTGAAAACCGAGAGAGGCCAAACCTCGAGCCGCTTCAAATAGAAGATGCAAAAAGGGCAAAGAAGAAGAAGAGAAGGGAAGGGAAAGGAGAAAGGGTGGGGAAAGGGGGAAGGAGGAAGGCAGGGGGAAAGAAGCAGAAGGGAAGGGAGAATCTAAGAAGGGGGAAGGAGGTAAAGGAAAGGAAAGTAAAGGTAAAGAGAAAGAAAGGAAAGGTGGAAAGGGAAGGGGAAGGCCCTGGTCTTCCAGGCCCGAGCCACTTCAAATAGAAGATACAAAAAAAGGCAAAGAAGAGGAAGAGAAGGGAAGGGAAAGGAGAAAGGGTGGGGAAAGGGGGAAGGAGGAAAACAGGGGGAAAGAAGCAGAAGGGAAGGGAGAATCTGAGAAGGGGGCAGGGGGAAGGAGGTAAAGGAAAGGAAGATAAAGGTAAAGAGAAGGAAGAACAGGTGGAAAGGGAAGGGGAAGGCCCTGGTCTTCCAGGCCCGAGCCACTTCAAATAGAAGATACAAACGAATGCAAAGAAGAGGAAGAGAAGGAAAGGGAAAGGAGAAAGGGTGGGGAAAGGGGAAAGGAGGAAGGCAGGAGGAAAGAAGCAGAAGGGAAGGGAGAATCTGAGAAGGGGAGGGGGAAGGAGGTAAAGGAAAGGAAGGTAAAGGTAAAGAGAAGGAAGGAAAGGTGGAAAGGGAAGGGGACGGTCCTGGTCCTCCAGGCCCGAGCCACTTCAAATAGAAGATACAAAAAAATGCAAAGAAGAGGAAGAGAAGGGAAGGGAAAGGAGAAAGGGTGGGGA